CTGAACCAAAAATGACCTTCTCGTAAGTTGTCCTTTTTTTGATTATTTCGTAAGGTTAGATAAAAAAACTCTCTCAAACTAATCATAATGAGAAAATATTCAAAATTATCGATAAAATAGGACGAATATTGAATTTTTGAGTACATAACTATGAGTACAACATTTGTTACTCCTTCATTTTTAATACTGAATTATTGATTGTATTTACTGTATTCAAAACTTATTCAAAGTAAATGTTGGTGAAGATGTTGCCAACTTGACTAAGGGGCATTTTTTCAAACAAATCAAATATTATGATAGGATGATCATTATCAATTACTGATCACTGTCTAGTAAATAGATTTCTTTTAAAATCATTCTTCATGAAAGAATCATTTTTGTTTTGAAAGGAGTGATATTCTAAGTGCGTGTTTCTACCTATTAAAGATCTACACTTCAGAAAGATCTCTTTCCATAAACTTTGTTGACAACAGCGACAAAAATTGATGACAAGTATGTCATTTGAAAGCAACTGATGTACGTGAATCGATTAGTGTCACGAGAATATAGCATTAATTTTAGGGTCGAAATAAATCTGAATCACGTTCGAACGCGTTTAATAGCAATAACTGTGTTTGAATACGTCTATTCTGCGTTTGCTGTTTACATAGAGAGATCAATCCTAATGAGCATTTGAATAAAACTTCAATAAATATTGTATCTCACCTTACGACAATACTCTAACTGTGGACAAAAAAATTTTGACAGGAATTCTGCTCACGAGGTATATGTTGCATAGATTAGTCCGATGAAGTTACACAAAAAATCGTTGCACCAACCAAACACCAGATAGATGACAAGAATACCACATAGAGCTATAAAACAATATAGACAGGTGAGATAAACGAAAAAAGTATGATTTAAAACATACCAATAGCAATGATAAAAGATCCAATACCAATCCTTTTTTCAATCAGATCGAATACTAGACCAAGTGGACCATTGATATAGAATGATTTGACTTTACTTTTCAGGTGATCAAAATACTTTTTAAATATGCTAGCCATATTTCTTGAAAAATGAATTTAAATCTGAAACATAAATGGAACCCTTGTTGGTTTCCTCAAAATGAGGAATGCGACACCTGAAATTCAACAGATGTCAACTTGGATTTGATCGATAAATAAACAAAAAAATTACCAGTTGTTCTATCTGTCATGTGTATTAAAATCGAGGTTTCACAGAGATAAAAGTATGTACTAGATGTTTGAATAGTTTGTTTCTGAATTTCAATACCAAAGATGAGATTGTGAGTAACATAACGATCAAAGTATAACAGTGGAACTTGAACAATGGTTTGCTGATCTGAATTTCTTTTTTTAGTTCGCATATTCAATGATTAGATTCAAACAATATCTCAATACAGCTAAGCTTCTCATTGATCAACAGCGAACGAGTTTTTTCACACGCCACAGAAGAGTTCATTACAAAGGTTTTGTAATGAGGGCAAAATAAATCGTCTCAATCGAGCCGATCTCTTCGGATTTGAGTCGCGACTTTTAATATGATTCTAAGGATGCTATCGTTATCAACTACTTCTGTCCAATGAAATGATGTAAAGAAAATTCGAAAAGTCTTCTATACGTAAGATCAGGTTTTTTTTATTACGTACTTCTGATGCTTCTTATCGATGAAAACATCGAAAGGTTTTCTCTCGAAGGATTGTCTACTTTCTCAATTATTCTCTTAATGCAATTAGAGTGCTGCGTAAATAATTACATGTCACTGTTAATGCGCCTGGCTCAGAAATAGTTTTTCTTAATAAACCAGATTATTCATCCATGTTCCTAAACGACCATATATCAATCAATTACGATGAAAAACGGTAAAATATGTCTTACGAAGAATTACAATCATCGCAAGTAGTGATCGTAGAAAAGAGCCCCTTACTTGTAGCAAAGAAAAATACGACCACTGAAAGCGACAATCAGATAATTGCCTAAGGCATTCGATACACCAAGTGTAAACTCTTTCTCAAACAATATCGTTTTCTATCATGCGTTCTTTATTTCTGTTACTCTAAATCTGTCACTCGACATTGTATTCAGCAATCCTTTTAAGCAAGCATACTACTTAAAATAGTTTCACGCCTGTACATCTAAGACAATGCGTAGAAAGCTATCACAAAAATGATCTACGATGAAAGCAAGGGGGAACAAACTGATTTCAAAAGATGAAATCACGTGAAATCATTTGAAATCGCCGAAATCGTGAAATCAGTTTGTTCGCCCTTGGATGAAAGGCATAATCAAAAAGGTAGAGACGTAAGCAATTACCATTAAGTTAATAGGTACAATGATGTAGGGAATCAGTGTGAAGGTAAACAGCTAGAGTTTTAACCTCTTCGTATAAGGGTATAGGAATAGACATACAGCTATATGAGTTGAGATGTAAGGTATGCGTTTCAGGATTCCCGTACCTTGCAGTTCTATTCCTAAAGAATGGGAATCCATTCCGCAACTCTTTTCTATACCATTTTTTGTATAAATCACTATGAGTTTTACGGCTGCTAGGAACAGAAACTCATGCCAATGTCCTGGTGCTAGGAATGGGAACATATAGAGAATAGAGGAATGGTAACTAGTATTTGTAAGTTCGAATAAAGCAAAAGAAGCAGATACTGCTCCTAAGTTGTTAGAATAGATGACAGATGCAATGATGATGATTTGTCACTAGTATGCCTCACTGGTCGTCGAATCAATTATATTATGCCATGATATTTTTTCACACAATCAAATATATTGATGGCAAAGTATGAGTTTGAGTGTAGTCGTGGATGAATGCAGCTGTGGGATGCGAAGTATGAGTCTGCTCTTCACTCTCACCCGCACCAAAAAAATTAGTGACCATGGAAATAATCGAAGGGTTTATGAAAATTTGACTTTTGGTTTCGGATGCTAATAAATACTTCTGTAGAGTTGACTATTCTATACTTTTTCTTATAATGTACTATGTCTATTTGAAGGCGAATGTCATCCTTCAGTTTTAGTTTAGTATCTTTGTTTCGATTCACTTAATAGGCCAATATGTATCTTAGCTTCCATTGGAGCATATTTGGAACAGATCCAATCGAATAGTGAGATTTCTAGGGCAGTTTCATGCATCATTCTTTTCAAATAGTTGCATCACCTTTTCTGAAGCTTAATTATATCCACTGGTCATGTCGGGTTGTGAAGCATAAGTTTATGCCGATCGTATATTGAGTATAAATTGAAAAAAACAGACTAATGTGGTATGTATACTCCAGGTAAAAAGAGCAGACATTCTGAATTTACTCTCCATTTTCTTTATTTTTCAAGCATACATAACGATCCGCTCGACTTCAAGGAGAATGGAAAACGAAACCTTGCATAAGAGAGGCCATTGTAGAACATGGATATATAAACAGGCTTTCACAGTTCAGAATATGACGATGTTTACTATGTAAGTGTCTATGCCCAGTAGAAATCTCTATGTTTGAGTTCAGAGTAATTACTTTGCACAGATTTTCAGCATCGAGAGATATTCACAGTGAGAGGTTTTACACTATTCGACTCTTACGCATTCGTTTTCGTACAGCAATGCGTGACGACCCATCAAGAATCGTATGGTAAAGTAATTTGTCAAACTAAGTTATTTCATTGTTTTTATTTTTTATTTGCAACGAGAACACCTATATGACATGTTCTTCTTACCGAAGTTTCTGCTCTCTGATGATATCGAATTTAAAAGCCTATTGTCTGAGTACTGCAGAAAAATCAATGCTATTCAATACGTCAATCGTGTTCTTACCTTCTTGTAGTTGTATGTAAAGAGAAATAAAAGAAACAGATGTACATGCACGGTTTCTGAAATGAGAAAGAGAAGCATATGAATGCTACTTCAATGTCTTGCAATCCTCCTAACAGAAAAAAAGCAATCGGTGGAGAACGAAAAAAAATAAGTAAAGAAAAAAGAAATAAAACGACCGTTATGTAAATGTTGGTGGATTGCATTTGGATGAACTAATCGTTTGATTCCTGACACATCACATTCACCTTCAAAGTGTCTTGCTTCGCTGAAGCTCACGTGCCAAGTGCCAAAACAGTATTATATTGAATCATGAGTGACTGATCAAAATTTGATATAGACAGATCAGAAACAAAAACTAGTGACCTTAGTAAGAATGGCACGATAATCTCGATTTTGGTGAACATTATTTTACTGCGACATTTCAGTCAACTGTGCAATCATTATCAAGAACGAAAAAATTACAAGAGCTGGAAGCTAATTCACCAAACCATATACACATCAGTGCTGCCACCTCTTCTGTTTTTAGCAGAAAAATTGTGCTTTTTAAAGATTTTTCTGCTTTTTTTCTGTCCTTTCTGCTTTTCAAAGATTTTTCTGCTTTTTTTAATATTAGGTCATTCATATTTTTAATCAATAACTCTCATCTGAATGATAATTTTTCGAATTCTAAAAATAAATTTTTATTAATAATCATTCATATTACTATCTTATCCTAGTTTTACTTCAATTATAACTAGTGTTTTCTAGTGGCTAAAAAGAATCAAATGTATATCTTTTATATTTATTCCATTCTTTACCTGTTTCTCTTTTGTCATAATTTCCATTATTCATCTGATTCGTAGAAATCAACATATACATTCTTTCGTGAGTGTGTTGAACGAATATAAATAACTAAAGTGAATAGTGTGAATATTTATAATATAAAGACAGAAAGAATGAGTGATGAAGATGGTAATACTGAAGAAGATTAACTTGAAATTTTGGCAATTGAAAAATCACCAGCATCAGCAGGAGTTGAACAGAAAAAAAAAGAAATTGAAAAGGGTGTGTTTAATAGAGAATGGTTGAAGATTAGTGAATATCAAGTATTTTTAAAAGAATATAAGTTTGATTCATCTCAAGCAACGTGTGTTGTTTGTAATCAACAATTTTCAATACATTATCGTGGAAAAGCTGATATAGATAATCATATGAAGACCCAGAAACATGAGAAGAATATGAAATCGTATAATGTGAATCAACAATTAATAACTGATACAATTAAGCCTTCGAAAGAAAAAGATGAAATTTGTTCTGCTGAAGCTGTTCTCGTTGTTCATGGTGTTAAACATGGACATTCATATGTGGCACAACAATGTTTAACAAATGTTTCCAAGACAATATTTTCTTCATCAACTGTAGCGAATCATTTATCATGTGGTCGAACAAAATCAACATCAATTGCATTAAATGTTTTAGCTCCTTACTTTACTCGATGTTTACTTGATGATTTAAAACAATCACTTTATTATTCTTTGCACTTTGACGCTAGTAATAAAGGAAATACGAAAGAATATCCTTTTTGTGTACAATTTTTATCATCATCAGGTGTTAAAAAAGGTATGTTTAGTTACTTTGTTATCTCTCGTTCATTTCTTATCTTTTTAGGAATTGTGGATTTGATTGATGATGCTGACGAATCAGCAAATGGAATATTTGCAAATGTACGTCAGTTAATTATGGACAATGATCAAGATTTTAATGGATTAACAGCATTAGGAGCTGATAACACGAATGTAAACGTTGATGAAAATCATTCAGTGTACTCACTGTTCAAAGAAGAATCACCTGATATTCTTAAAGGTATAAAAGTTTTAGTTAATTGAGAAAGTTATATCTTTGTTAGTAATTTCGTCTTCTATTTTTTTAAAGCTTTATATGATTAATCATGAGCATCTAAGTGAGTGTGATAATTAATTTTTAGACTCTTTGTTACAGTGTATTCTCATAACATATACCTCGATCCTCTCTATTCTCTTCTCTTTGATATTTTCGTTTCTGTCTTTTCCTTTCTTTAACTTCTTTTCTTTGCCCTTGATTAACCTTTGTCTTCTTTTCTATTTTGTCCATGTTTTTCATGTGCGTATATAAACTCTTGTTTTGTAAAAGAATAAACAGAGAGAATAAAACACACACACACNAATAACTCAGCCATTTCGTGACGGATCCTTCTCATCTTCGAACTCGACCGAGACATTGTTAAGACTGAACTGTGTAGAAAATTTCATCATGATCTGACTCTCCTTTCGAAAGTTATCGTGTAAACGGCCGGCCGGACGGACATACTGATCGATTCTAGAGTGTACTCACTTTTTGAGTACACAAAAAAGATATTGTTTTTTTTTCTGTTCTTTCGAAATAATTTTCTTACTTTATAAATCGGATGATTTCCATTGTTAATTCCAATACGACGATTAGCAATTGGTTGACGAATATCATTATTACGACGATAAGCTTGTGTTAAACTCATTCGACGATTTTTATCATAATCATCATCATCAGCCATATCATACATAGGTCCTTGAAGACCAAAAAAAAAAAAAAAAATGAAGGAAGGATTTTCTATTAAACGAATATGAAAAAAACAGATGTTTACTTGTTGATCGATAAGCTGTTTGTTTTCTTGGTCCATATCTTGAATTCGTATCTTCATATTGATCATAATCATCATCATCATCATCATTATTCCAATGTCGTCTTGAACCTGGTGGTCTTCCACGCATACCAGTTCCACGTCGACCAGGATATGTTCCACGTCCACGATAATTAGGACGTTTTGGTATATATTGTCCTTTCGGTACATAATCATAATCAGATGGTTCCTCACCAGTTGTTTGTATATGTTCATCATCTTCATCATCATCTGGTTTTCCTTGTTGATCATTCATCCATTTTGGTCGTTTAATATCTGGTTGTTGTTGTTGTTGTTGAAAACGTGATTTCATTGTTGTACTTTTAACTGCATAAACACGAGGACGTGGTTTATCATCATCTGTTGCTGATGTTGCTGCTGCTGCTGTTGTTGTTGTACTCATTTTTGTACCCGTATCATTATATGAATAATCAAAATCATTTTGAAAAGCATTATTTAATGTTATTATTGAATTACTTTTTTTAGTTAAACGTTCTTCATTATTATTATTAATATTATTATTATCATTATTTGTTATTGTATTATCAATTGGTTGTCCTGATAAAGCATCAAAATTAGTTAAACGTGGTATAATAGCACGTTTACGTTGTGCTGTTGGATCTGATTGAATTGTTGTCGATGAATATTGATCACGTATATCATCTTTTGGTATACGACGTTTAAGAATTTCAATAGCCATTTTACTTGAACCTTTCCAAACAAAATCAACTGATTCATCACTAAAATCATCTTGTTCAGGTGAACCAAATTGCATAAGATCTTTTTCATCAAGTTTAGAATTAATATTATTATTATCTTCAAGAGATTTTTTAATATATTGACGTTTATTTGTTGGTGATGGTAAAACATTTTCTGTTTCATTTTTTTGTTGTTCATCAAATATTGATGATGTTGTTGTTGAAAGCATTTTTGGTTTTCGACCACGTTTTTTTGGTGTAATTAAAATTGGTGGTGTTGAATTAATTTTAATTTTTTCACGTATTTGATTAACAGGTGTATTTGTTTGTGAACCAAGACGTGATGCACGACGTGTAACAGGTTTTTCGTATGAACGTTTATTCGAACGTTTTTTTTCTTCAATTTCACTATTAGATGATGATATCGATGTACGTGTTGAAATTTCTTCAAGTTTAGGAGTTTTTGGTGGACGACCACGTGGACGTTTCGTTACTATGGGTGTATTAGATTTACGTATAAGTATTGGTTTTGTATTATGATCTTCGTCGTCAGATTGAAATGTATATTTATCTTGTTGTGAAGGTTTTATTGTTGATGATAATGAACGAGTAGACGGTCGTTTTAATGGAGATAATATTATCGACTTTTTACTCATGATGATAAATGACACGCGATCAGCATGAGCTTTTCGCGGTCGATATAAATTAACAATAAATTAAAAAAAAGAAAAATATATAATATCTAAAAAGAAAATTATTTTTTTTTTTTTAAGAAAAGAAATAGTTTCGTATTAAAAATACTTTCATATATGAATATTTGTTATCTAATAACTATATGAGAATGATTATTATCAATGAATAACTATTCAATTCGGTATAATTGGTTGTGCAAAAAAATATTTACTTTTTGAAAGAATAAATTTAATAAACTTGAAATAATTTCTTTTTCTTTTTCTTACTTTAATTGAAAATGTTTATAATTGAAATTTTTTTTTTTTTAACTAAGAAAATAAATTTCGATCGATTCATATAGATCATATTTGATTTGAACTCATCTAAAGACAAAGAATAAATGACAAAAGAGGGCATGTGTAGTCGGAGAAAAAAGATCGCCATCTTCGTTTCATTAGCCTCCTCAAGGTCAGTCAACAAAGGCATATATTGATCTACCAATTAAATAATTACAAGAAATTTTATTTAAATAAAATAATTAAAATAAAAATTTTTCACTTTTTTAAATATAGTTCGAATTTTTTCAATAATTAAATAAAACATTATTAGCGCTACTTGTCAATATATATTCAATGATTAGTAGAAATTGTAACCAATAAAAAAGTTCTGTAAAGATATGCGCATTAAATTTTGCTGAATAAATGAAATAGAACATAATTTTCTAGATGATCATACAGAAATCTTTTAATAGAGAAATATTAAATTAAACTTATTCAATTGTTTTTGTTTTTTCTTTCCTCGTCGAATCTCTCGTGGATTATAGTAGAGAAAAAAGAGTATTTATTCGTCATTTTTTTTTTTTTTTTTGCAATATTTTAAAAAACTTCGTCATTGTGCATTTTGATACAATCTGATTAGAAAAAGAAAATGTAGATGCACATGTTATTAGTAAAAAGACACTTTGTTTTGAATTTCCATTAGATATATTTTGTGCATTTCTAAAATTGACATTGACTAGTGCAAATTAAAAATATCTGATTAAGAAATATACTTTCTTAAAGCAATTATTCTATTGAAATGCATTACATGAATCTAAGGAAACGAGTGATTAGTATAATAATACAAAATTCGATGTGTCATTAATGTTATCATGTGCTGAAGATTTCTGAAATGTAGAAATCAAATAGGATTTATTTTGTGAAATATAAACTAACAGAAGTGTTGGAATATAAGAACTAAAAATTCCCTCTTCTCCACAAATCGTGACAGACGTCAGTCACAAACTATCGATGACTTTATATCAATAATGTCTTGTTCTAAGTTTGCAAATATCTTCCTCATTACGTTTTTTAAGAATTGAGATGATAATAAAGAAATGTGTACTAGAATAAATATATATACTTTTATACAGTCTGACAAGCTGAACATTAGGGATAAGAGTGTAGATAAAATGATTTATTTAAAAAAAAATGTCAAATAAATTAAAATTATATAAATTTTTAACATGGTTATACTGAAAACACTTATTTGTATTGTCAGATACATCTTCAATACATAACTTTTTGTTTTCTTCTAATGGTAATATATAAGATACATGTCATAGAAAGCATCAAATACCATTTTGTGCTTCGTTTGATCAGTTTAACAATCCTATTAGCTTGCTATACATATTAATTAATTGTTCACTAAACTTTCTCGTACATCATGCTTTTTCTCAGCGAACTTTCACATATAATGTTGAGTTTTGCCTAAATTTAAAATTTTAATTAGTTCATGTTGTTCTATGTCCGTCCTATTGTGACTCTACTAGATCAATAATACAGCTGCTCTACTGATTGACATGTATCATAAGATTGTCTATTCTATTGTTCTGAGAAAAAAAATCACATATGTTATTTTATTTGAATTAATATATCAAAAACTACCAAGATGTTTGTTTAGATTTTGTTTTATTGTTGAGAAAATTGAATATTTTTTCATTTCAATGATTAGAAAAAAATGACTTAATATTTAGTAGTTTTATCATCATAGTCAAATTCAAAAGTGAAAACAAATAAGAATGAAACCTAATATCGGATCTCAATGGTTCTAGCGAAGTCTGCTTCGTATGTATAACTAACACTAAGGAAATCACAGACAAAATTTCTGGAAAAGAATATTGACGGCAAACATAGATGAATTTTGCATGTAACATATATTTTTACTAAAGTCAATATGATCTGATATAGTTTTTTATACAACTTCAAAGACCTAATTTATTGTATTGATTGTTATAGACATGATATATGTATATATATATATATCAAAAATTAAAGAACAGACTTGTTTGGTTTTACAAACAAGAAAAATGCTAATTGGAATATATTTTTTTCATGCAATCAACAGACTGTAATTCATAAAAAATATCGAAAACATAAATGTGAAAAATGATACTCTGCAATTTGAGGATATACTAATTATACATGTGAAAGTACATAAGACAGATGCTTCTACAGATTGTTTATACAGAAGTGATGAATGAATATGCTTTAAATCTATTTATATCATTTGCAATGTTCTTTCTTTTGAAATTTTTTATAGAAATATTTCTTATACTATTATGATTAAGTATAATAGAAAAAGAATTATACAGAAGTGTTGTGTTTATTGAAAATTTCTTTCTTTTGTCAATAACCTTGACTTTTTTTTTTTTTTTCACCAATTAGATCGGTATTTTTTGTTCGTCGGGTTTTTACTTTGTTGATTATCAATAGAAAGATTTTGCTAAGCAAGAAAATGTTTGACTGAGTTATAACTTTTATTTATGTATTTCACAACGTGTCGTTAGTAAAGTAAAATGATACTTAAAAATAAAGTTTTTAAGAATTATTTATTCATATTTAGAATAATTTTCTTTTATTCACCTTGTAAATTATTGAATGTTAACTTCTTATATGAAATAATTACAATATTCTGACAAATGCAATTCTAAGATAACAATCTAATCTATTTACTGATTCTAGATTATTGTTCAAGCATTCTTTGTCCGTTGTCTTTCAATAAATACATAAAATTTGAAATTTATTGAAATAGAATATTAGATGGCAATTAGAGATTTGTTTGAAGAATATATATCTGTATACTCGTTGATCTTTTTCCACACAACGAATATCGATGGACTCAAAATATTTGATTGAAATATGTATTTTCTTCTCTGGCTTCTTATTTTGTTTTAATGTATATTCTCAGACAACTGACACATCTTCAAAGAAGAATCTAATTTTTCTTTCATAATTAACTACTTGATTATATAGTCTTTTCTTTTGTGTCAGTATTATTGCATTGAAAATTAAAGTAGTTTTAAATAAATGAACGAGATGACTTTTTCTTACTCTCAGTCAAATATAAATCAATATCATTTTTACCTGTAGACTTTTTTCACGTATAGTATATGAGTAACATTGGTGAGGCTGTGAGTGTGTCTCTTATTTCCAATTACACGCACCCCCTATTCTCCCGCACCCTTGACTATTTACCAACAAGTGCTTTTTTGAATTTGAATGCTTATGAAATATATATCAATTTAATCAGTAGTGGTTATCCAAGGGAATTTGTTAGGCAGTCAATTGATATACGATGTACCAAATCTCATTATTTTAATATTCAACCAGCTTGGAAAGCGATAGTAAATTATGATAGTTCAGGAAGTCCAAAAGTTTCGTGTTATATTCACCGTACTAAGATGGTTTATCACATTGAACAGCTAACATTAACTGTAGTTAGTGATACCTTTGGTCACGTTTATTTTAAACATGAAACTTCTGGTTAAGTGTCTTTGCACAAAATAATAAAAATATGTTCTCTTTTTTGACAGAAATATAACACTCCATAGGTTTCAATTGATTCAGTTCTAAATAGGATGTGAGTGTTGGTGTCGGTGTGGATTTGGTATGGAGAATAGCTATATTCAAGCCTGCAACAACACCCACAATGTGAACATTTCGCTGCTGCATCTAAATTCAATTGAGTCCACCGGTCCACCCTTTTCTCCTTGGTATGGTCTCATTCTTAATTTACAGTCTTCTCTCGATATTACGACGTTGTTTGTTCGAGTTTTTGAAGCAATGGATGAAGTGACTGAAGTGTTTTGCGTGCCATGTGAATCGCTTGTTTTATATATTCAAGCGTTTCAATACGTCGTCCCATGCGATCAAGTGTAGCAGCAATACTAAGTAAAATAGTAGAGAGTGATGAATAATCATCTGGTAAAGATTTTTGTCCGATTTCAAGTGCATGATAAAAACATTTCAGAGCTGTATCGCACTGATTCGAAGCATAGTAGGCGAAGCCAAGCATATATTTTGTATCGGTAAGACGATAACGTTTTCCTAGAGGTAAATGATCTTCTTCCAATTTGCATGCACGCAGCAAATTTTCAATAACATTAGAATAATCAGCATACTGCTTTATCAATTGAACAAAGCCAATGTTCTTATAGATAAGAGCTAAATTAAGTACACTCGATTTGCGAAGACTTTGTTCTTTTGAGAGAGCATTTGTGTAATGCACCAAGGCTGTATCATAAATTTTTCTAGCTACAAAAATATGACCAAGTTCGGTCATTGTCTCAGAAAAATTTTTCATATTAAACGACTGTTTCAAATGAAAATACATTGTTAATTGATCTTCAGCGTCATTATTGTTTCCAAGATGTCCATTGACTATATCCAATACGTGTAGTATGACAGGAAAAATATATGAAGCACAATTTTTTGTGTGCATCAGTTTACTGTAAAAATATTTTGCTTGATCGTATTTGCCCATACGTTGTAAAAGTTTTGCCAGACTTAGAAGGTGTATAGTACTTCCGATTTCTTTGCGAATCTGTTCACCCAATTGTTTTAACTGAACATCTTCATCGTCAGTTAAGCGGAGCTTTATCATCCAGTTACCTAAAACATGATGTTTTGTCAGTAGTGAATAATAGGATTATGCACGGGATTGTTCCGCTTTTCAGATAAGTCAAATGGCAGATTTTCGATCTAAAACTATATCCATGAATATAGATCTTGCAATAATCTGTAAGTTTCAATTCAAATGGATATTCTTTGTTTTTTGGAAATATTGAATTTTCATTATTATTTTTGTAAGTTGAATGTCTCGATAAGGCAATTTTTGTTGAAATTGAGACTTTCGGTAATCGTCTAATGGCAATCAGGCCTATTTATGAGTTTAATTTCAAGTCGACAATCTACTATTTTTGATTTTTTTTTCAAAAATTCGTTTTCATTGATCGAGAGCCCGGTAAAACGATCATAACTGAATCCTAAAGGCTCATGTGCACAAATATTTTTACAGTTATACTATTCTCGTGATTTTACAGATATGTCCAAAATATACGAGCTCAAAAAGTAATGGGGACACTCAAGAGGTTCTCCACATAAACTTTACAGCTTAGCAAACATACTTCTTTTCGATTAAAGTATTTATCGGAATTATTAAAATATTTTCAAACTTATCATCTGATCCCTGTTCGACAGAATGAATTTGAAATACAGTTCCCATGCTGAAAAGAATTTCCTGTTCGGCATCTTCAAATACACTGATACTACTGATGTTTGCACATGGCCATTTGCAATTGTCAAATCGATGTTCATCTCGAATAAGACTCGGCACCGTCCACTGTCGTCTAGTACTTGTGGAGCACTTCGATCCAAACTTGTTGAGGTGAAACTACTTAACGAGAGAAGCCCACCAATATTGTTACGTAACTTTTTTTCAAAATCAGCTTCAGACCACATTCATCCACGATAAACGGTGAATCGTCGAACGTCATTGCCTGTTATCCAGTCTTCGTGGAATTCGAGCAATTCTTCATGTAAATCTTTGATGAAGTAACGAAGATTGTACAGTGCAGCTGTATCTTGTGTGAGCAAAGCACTATTAACCACACGATAAACAAAAAGATCAGCGGTATACCACCAAATAGGAGAATACTGAGAATAGGTTTCCTCGAAGTTGTCAATGTCATCAAGATATTTCTTATTGTCAGCGTAATAATGTCGAAATTCAGCAACCGTTTCGTGTTTGGCATCGTCAACATCTTTCTTCGTCTCACAAGTCATGTTAAGAAAGATTTCGATTAAAATTTGTGAGTAAAGAAAATATACCTCTTGCTCATCAATGAATTTTGTCAAAGTTGTCCAATCAGATGAAAATTCATTTGTAGTCAGAACGATCTGTTGATCTTCGATTGGTCGTATCGACACAATTTTCAATTAGTCTATATGGGATTGAATTTCTTTTGTCAATGTCTTTGTATCTCTTGGAAATAGTTTCACTTCTCCTGGATATATCAGATCTCTTGCTGCTTCTTGATAATGTATTATTCCTTCTATGGTATCTTAAATCGCGTGTAAGTCCACAAATTGATCCACCTTTGTTGTGGTTCTGCTTTTAACTAGTCGATTTAGATAAAAGGCGTCTAAATCTGAATAGATGACGTGTATTTTACGGTGCTGTAGGCTTTCTCCTGTTATTCGACCAATAACAACAATCGATTCGAGGTTTGATTGGTCTTGAATTCTAGAAATATCTTCGTTTTCGTCGACAATCAATGTAATATAATTGTCTGAATGGGTAAGAAGAAAACGATTGCATTCATTGATATTCGACACTAGTACCGTTTTACCTTATATTGAACAGTTTTGTACCATTTTTGGTGTAACATTAAGCCCAAGTACAAAACGCTCATTATCAGACGTTGAAGAAAAGAAATTGCTTACTTCACATTGATCAAATAATTGAGCGAAGTCGCATGCTTCAAGCGAGCTCAAATGGTGCAACATCAGAAAATAACGGCGCCAGTGAACATGAAATGAGGCAACGAAGGTAAATTTTTAACACTGGCAATACCCGCATCTAGAGGTACTCTGAAGTGACTCTATGGAGTCCGAATATGTGGTCGAAAAGTCTACGCAATAAGCGTATATTTATGCGCAAGCTTTTTGGAGTGTGTGGGTATGAGTGTAGAGTGTGCGTGATGGTACTCAGTAGACGACGAGGATATTCACATCCACATTTACACTGACACAGACATCTACATCCCAATATACGCAAAGCTAGTGTATGAAAAGAAATCGCCGACTTGCTGCAATTTTCAAAGAATACGTATAAGGTCACCATGAATCAATAGTTCGCTATTATTCAACTAAGTTGAAAAAGTGATTTTGGCAATTCGTTAAACTTAAAGCACATTAGACCCCATTCCGAACTCAGATGGTTGTGAGAGAAAAAAAAATAAAACACCATATTTTTTATTTGGTGAAGCTTCCACTATGAGCGAGCCACATTCGTCAACTGATTATATTCCACTCGATTTCTTACTTGATTGTTATGGTCAATAACGAATTCCTGTCGATTTCGAAAATCCTGAAATGCCATCATACAATAAACGTACTTATCATTATTGGAAAAAAATTATATATCTCCGATACTCAAAACTATAGATTCGAGGTTGGGCGAAGAAAGAATGAAACCAATAAATGATATGACGAACAACTTGCCTACTATATTTATGATTGTCGATATGGCTTATCGACGTGGTGAGTTTTCACGTGCACTACATTACTACAGTATTGTAAAAGAAAAAGTTTCTGATGAACAATTCACTGACAGTGATCGACTTGCCAATGATGTTTGAAATATAGCTCATTGTCATCGATATTTGAATCATTATGATGATGCCTTGAAGTGTTACAACGAGGCGCTTGAACTCAACCAATGAACGACGAATTCATTTTCTGAAATGCATTTCGTTAGTATATACCAGTCAAAGCCGATACAAGTTGGCACAACAAACCATTGATTAAGCATTAGAACTCTGCTCAACACATTTACCATATTATCGTCCGGAGTTAGCAGAACATTTCTTCGCCAGAGGTGAGGTTTATCGTGAAAAATATGACTTCAAATAGGCTCTATCTTTCTATCAGCAAGCACTTGAGATGCAGCTGATTTAAAAGAATTCACTTACATACAATGCAATTCTTGCTCGTCTATACTCAAGTATGGGCTTAACTCTTAGTGCTTTAGAAGAATGCCATGCTCAAGCACTAGAACAAAGTGAAAGCGCGTCGCGTTTGCTTTGATCAGTCTATCAAGATGGTGTTCATGAAGTACTCATTCGCAAATATGAACAGAATTTTCAGAATGTACGAGAAAAATGTGCACTTATTGAAGATGTTTCACTTCCATCGGTCGTCGTCGCTTCATTTCCTTCGTCTAATCGACCAGGAATACTCGCCAAGAAGGATATGGAAGGGAAAAGAGTGTATTCGTATGAACCATACAGCGATGACAAGTGTAAGCAAGTGGCAGTTAGATTATTGATAACACAATTCCAGTTTATACGAAAATAATTGAACGACTGCGTTCTTTCGAATGAGCTAAAAGTGATTGTCAATTCTGTATCAGTTTACAAAAACTGAACGGACAACTGCTGCATCCGTAGTAGGACTACAGTAGTGCCAGTTCGAAAGAACTCACTCATAATTCATATGATCTGATCGATCAGTTCATTACAAATTGTATGAACTGTTCATCAGTTCGATCAAATTACAAATCTAATACATTACGCTTTCGATCTCGGAATAATTCAAACGCTACTTCAAAATTTTGAGAACCTCTTTTTAGATTCCAATTTTGAAAATATATTCAAGTACACGATTATACCATCACGAAAACATTATTTTATAAAATGTGGTAAATTCAATAAAAGTTGACAGAGCATTTTCGAATGCCCGCGTTTGAGTTTTTTTGAATCTGAAAGGAGTTTGTCAAAATTTTGTAGTAGATTCATTTGAAGGTGAAAGTATGAGTTTTTAAAGTTGAAGTTCAAACGAATTGGTGAACAGTTCAAAAGCGTTGATGAACCAGCTTCACTTCTCTAAACGAACGGGTCGATCAAGTCGAAACTTCTATTGAACAGTTACAGTTCAAATCGTTAATGTTGACTCAGAATTAATTATTCTCAAACGATTTTATGTTCTAAAACAATTCAAATGATATTTATTGCACAGATATAGTTCTCTCTATTACGATTTTTAGCGAATATTTAGAAGATATGCAACAATTCGCATATACTAAAAATCAGAATGAACTCAATCATTTGTCAAATAATTATTTATTATTAAAAAATTATTTGTTCAACTATGTAACATCAAGAGGGAGTCTAATACAAGTTTAAAAAAGCAAAAATCTACCAAAATAGAATATTATTGATAAAATGCAAAAAAGAGAACTGAGAAAATTCGGTGTGGATTTAGAAAAATAAAAAATTCACTTCTTTTCTCTTGTCAAATGTCATATTTTCAGATAACAGTTAATATGATCAAATTTTCTTGGATTTATTTGTAGGAAATTATGACACCGTATAGAACGAAACTAGACACGATGTCATGTGCCTTATGCTGCAAGCATTCTCAATGTTGTTCGANAATATAAATGGTTTTTTCTTTTTTTTTTATAGTTTTTGTTTGATTTTTTTCAATAAAGGGTATATTTTGTTGAATTTAAAATTTTTTTATTCATTGAATGTGTTGTATATGGGTGGTGCACCGATACTGTGCGAACATCTCAAAAGTGGCGCCAATATCAGTTTAATTCTATGTAACAGGTGATGAAAAGTAAAATCAATATACAGCAGTATTACATGTCTATAATATACTTGTGAAGTGCTCTCCAGAATTTCAAACGACTCCACTGGACACCACTGGACTCCATTGGACTCCACTGGACTCCATTGGACTCCATTGGACTCCACTGGACTTCACTGGACTCCATTGGATTGGAGTCCGCTATTTCCCCCTTGAAATATATTCATTTCGACTTGAAAATATGTTTTTTTAAAATTTGAATACAATCGAAAAACATAGAGAAGCATTATTGATGTAGGAAAAATAGACAAAATAATGATTTCACCTCCAAACAGAACTATAAAGTAAGTTTCTGACTTGAACTTTAGCGTAAAAATATAATATCAAAGATATTATATAGGGTTTTTAATGTTTCATTTCAAGAGACTCATTATGATGATTCTTGCATAGGTTCATTTTTAAGAATTTTGACTATTGAATCGGTTCTATGCTGAGGAATTAACAGGAAAGTGCAAGTTTCTTCACATGAGTTATTATTATGTTTGTTTTGTGCTTTCGTCTCGTATACATATTTTTTCAAACTTTGAATCGACTTCCATAATTTTCTTATTCTATCATGTTCCTTTCACTCTGTTTGTTTCGGTTTTAGGTTGACTAATTTGACTTTTCATTTTCATACTGGTCATATAAATCCTATTGCTTTCTTCAAAATGAAAATTACAAATCGAACATATCGAGATTTATGGAATTCCAACCAATACGATAATGAATTCATTGAAATTCATCGAGATCCATTTGAATTTACTGGACTTCGCCAGACTACAGGAACCACTTTTTGCTTGAGAACATTTCAGCGCTATATCTTTAAGTACTAAGAAGTCATGAATTCTTAGTTTCACAAGACTACTGTATATCAATGAGCATCCTTTCATAATCTGATCCAATCTGGTGAATTTCTTAGATATTTATCAGCTGTAGTAAGCTCTGAAATATTTTTCGGCCCAGTAAAATTCATTAAAATTTTGTGGGATGTGGGTGGTGTGGGTGGGGGTGGGTGGTGTGTGTGGGCGTGGGTGTGGGTGTGGGTGTGGGTGTGGGTGTGGTGTGGGTGTGGGTAGTGTGGGTGTGGGTGTGGGTGGTGTGGGTAGTGTGGGTATGGGTGGGTGGTGTATGTGGGTGTGGATGCGAGTGGGTGTGGGTTTTATCATCAATTGTTCCTCCACCCACACCGCACCCACACCCACCCACCCAGCCACCCCCGCACCCGCATCCACACCCACACCCACACCCACATCCACACCTACACCCACACCCACACTCACCCACACCCACACCCACTCTAATTCACTGTACAAGTTGGCAAAAATATCGTTGAAATATAGAATTTCATTGGTGATCGGGTGTGGGTGTGGGTGTAGGTACCACTCTTTTCAGTCACACCAACACCCAAAAGTAGAAAGCATTAAAATTTAATTGTCCAGTAATCGATATACCGAAAACCTATGAACAGATTCAAAATATTAGTGTGGTCGGCGAGCTGAAGGAACAGTTGAAGGCAATTCAATAAGATCAATAAAATTACCTGGAACAACTTGGAAAAGAGCTTTCATACAGGTTTTAATGCGTTTTCATCGATAATTATTAATCAAAGCCTCGATATTTTTAACATTCTCTTCGTGCAGTAATTTATATAAATATCTATTTTCTTTATAAACTTAAATGGAAATAGGGTGTGGATATGATTGTGAGTCTCGGTGTAGGTTTTGGTGTATGTGCAGGTACATTTGTGACTAGGTGTCTATTTTGGGTGTGACTCTAGATGCAGTGACGTTAGCGCGGCTGCGAGTCTGTTCTAAGTAAATTCTCAAACCCACACCCTTACTTTTTTGACCTGAGTGTCGGTAATATCATGTGTTCAGCTGACAGCAACATAAATTTGTTATAATAAATAAATAAATAAGTCCCATAGGATTATCTCCCGTCGGGGCCAATAGATGAAAGAATAAGATCTTTCCAACCTTTTCTATTCTGAGCTAGATGGAAAAGATCTTGTATATTGTAGTTGCACCAATCTGTGATATCATCTAACCATTCTCTAGAAGGACGGCCGACTCGAGATTTTCCATCCATTCTAGAGAATACCACTTGCTTTATTAGCCTGCTATCATCCATTCTACTAATATGTCCAAATAATTGTAACTTTCTCTTTTTTATGATATCCACAATAGTAGTTTTTCGGGATATCATTTTCCTTATAGCCTCGTTTGAGATTTTATCTGTCCATTTGATTTTTAATACTCGACGATAGCATTTCATCTCAAATGCTAATAATTTCTTTTTATCACTTTTCTTTAGTGTCCATATTTCTGATGCATATAATAAAACAGTGAACACAGTTGTAGTTAGGATTTTTAGTTTACTTTTTACTTTGATATTTACACTACTTATTATATGTTTTAACGAAGCTAATACTTCTGTCGCCTTGCTAATTCTTCTTTTGATTTCTTCGGTGCAGTTATTATCCCAAGTTAAAAGACTTCCAAGGTATTCGAATCTGTTGACATTTTCAATGACGTCTCCAGATATCTTAATCTCTTGGTTATTGTCTTTCTCCCCGAACACCATTATTTTTGTCTTTTTTGCGTTTATAATTAGTCCAGCGGGCTTCGCTGAATTGTTCGTGGTTTCGATTTGCTCTGTAAGACTATTAAAATTTTCGTCGATAAGATCTATATCATCAGCAAATCTTAGGTTATTTATTATATTTCCATTGATGTTGACTCCACAAGGTTTTTGTTTTACCTTTTCCATTATTCGCTCGAGGTATGTTATAAATAGAAGCGGAGATAATGGATCTCCTTGTCTAGTTCCTACGCTAGTATAGAACCATTCTCCATCTTCCTTATTTATTCTGATAGCTGACTGAGTTTTTCCATAGATTTCCTTTAATAACCTGATTAATTTACCATCGACACCATAGGATTGTAATACTGCCCACAAAACTTTGTGGTTAACAGTGTCAAAAGCTTTCTGGAAATCTATGAAGCAATTATAGATTTGTTTACCTTTCCTTTTTGCCTTTTCCGCTATAAGTCTTAATATTAGGATTTGATGAACAGTACTTCTATCTTTTCTGAATCCTGATTGCTCTTCAGAAAGATAGGGATTCAATTGATATTGAAGTCTGTTTAGTAGTATTATTAAAAAGATTTTGCTAATATGATTAATGAGGGAAATAGTTCTGTAATTTGAACATTGTGATAAATCCCCCTTCTTATGTAGTGGGATCAAAATTGACTTTCCCCAATCTTCTGGAATCGCTTCGCTATGCCATATTTTATTACAGAGTTTGTGAATTTCATATGCTAGTGATTCTCCGCCACTTTGTAATAATTCAGCTTGGATTCCATCTAAACCAGGACTTTTATTCTTTTTCAATGATTGTATGGCTTGTTCCACCTCCGAAAATAGGATATCATGAGATTCTTGCTGAATTGGTGGGGAAATTTGTTCTAATTCTTTTATTATTATATCTCCTCCACCATTATCTTTATATAAGTTACTACAATATTGAGTCCATCTTTTCTTTATCGCTTCTTTAGATTGTAGCAAATTTCCATCATGACTCCGTAATAAATTTAATCGTGGTGCAAAATCTTTCTTTTTTAGTGTTTTTATTAAGCTATACGCTTTCCTGGTGTTACCTACTCTTAGACCTTTATCAATTTCTGTATACTGTTCCTGCAGCCATTGTTCTTTATCATGTTTTACTGATCTTTTTACTGAATTGCAGGCTTCTCTATATTTATTGCTGTTTTCTATTGATATATTCTTTGTTAGCTTTGCTAAACGTTTCTCCTCGACAAGCTTTAGTGTTTGTGCGGAAATCCATGGTTTCCTAGATAGTTTTATTGTAGGAATAACTGTATTTCCTGTTTCTTGGATAGCATTTAGTATTTCTTTCGAGTGTTCTTCGATATTGCTATCTGGTTGAAACTTTTTGATTTTTTCTTTTAATAAATCGATGTAGCGTCCTTTGGTAGTAGTGTTGTTCAACTGGTTTATGTTTAATCTGTAGTTCTGATTTCTCTGATGGTATATCTTCTTCAGATGTAATTTGATGTTGCATAATACCAGTGAATGATCTGAACCGATATCTGCACTTTGGAATGTTCTGCAGTTAATTACAGAAGATCTCCATCTTTGCTGAACTAAGATTAAATCGATCATATTTTTATGAACTCCGTCAGGTGATTCCCAAGTCCATTTCCTATCTGCTTTATGCTGGAATCTCGTATTGCAGATGAATAATCTATGCACTGTTGCAAACTCTAGGAGACGTTCTCCACGATCATTCCTGTCTCCAAAACCGTATCTACCCATCACGGAATTCCAACCAGTGTTATCGTTGCCAACTTTTGCATTCCAATCGCCAGACATAAGAATAAGGTCTTTCTTAGGAACCTCAGCTAGAGTATTCTCGATGGAGTTGTAAAATGCCTCGATTTCCTCATCTGAAGATGCAGAAGTTGGCGCATATACATGAATTGCCGTGATTTTGAATGGAGTTGTATTAAATCTTGCTGTGATTACTCGTGAGCTAACTGGATTATATCCAATTAAAGCATTTTTAGCTTTCTTACTTAATAGAAATCCTACTCCATTTGCATGAATGTTTTCTTCACCTGACCATATAAAATCTCCAGTAGCTGTTTCTCCTTTTCCTGTCCATCTAGTTTCTGAAACACCAATTATATCGTATCTGAAACGTTTTAATTCATGTCTGAGCAGATCTAATTTTCCTGCTTCCCATAGAGTTCTAACATTCCATGTTCCGATTGTTAATATTTCTTTCCTTAATCTAATTTCATTGGTGCTAGCTACAGTGTTATTTGTATTTGAGTTTTTGGTGTTGGAAGCTTTTCCAGTAACCAACTTTTCGACTCTGCCCTGGCCACCCGACAGAGGACGCGGACCTTGTTGACCCGGGCGACGCCCGAGCCGGTATGGATTAAGATCATTGACTTTCATCTTTTGGTTTCTGCCGTCTTTGAGTTTTTTACAGATAGCGGTATCTGCACCCCTTTCTATCCAACGCTGCTCCTTTTTCCGGACGTGCGACCGGCACAGAAGTCGCAAGATTGCGACTCCCATGGTGGAGTACCCTGGCTAAGGCTTATAGAAACTCGGCTCGGATGAACCTTGCTTCTGGCGGCCTTTACTCGCCGTATCATCTTGCCGTCATTGAGTTTCTGTGGCATTTTATAAGTGTTTTGGTGCCACCCAAAACCCCACCACACCCTGTTGACAAGATGGCTGAATTGTTCAGGACTGCTTATTTGATCAATTACTTGATCTTATTCGCAGCTAACCATCATACTAATGGCCATCCCACTATCCGCAACCTGTGGACCCGCTTGGTAGCATCCAGCTTGCCCCAAGAGAAATTTGTTATACTTTTTAAATTCTCATGAAAATGCTGTTATAATGAAAGAAAGACTTTTCTTTTATTAATAACTGTACCAATAGTTTAATTGTCATACATTAAGATTCTTTGAAATCTAATTAGAGGTTTGTTTTCAAACGAAAGCAAGTATGTTGCACAGAGTTTCTCTTCGGCTACTATTTCCTTATAGCATTCCGCTAAAAACCTGTTAGTGTCATAATTTTGATCATATTATTGTTTTTTATAAAAAAGAGTTCTGTAACACTTTGTCTTCTTCTTAGAGCAATAGAATTTTGTTTAAATTCTGGCGACTTTTTTATCGAAAATTCTTTACAGGCTTCTTGTTCTCCAAAGAGTATTCCATATGGTAAAACTTATCTTCTGATGCTCAGATTTGTATTTTGAATGAATGTTGCTGTCTTTCTTCAAATACTGATAGATTTCTCTTTCAACAGAGGGATAGGCATGGGTCAAGAAAACGATGTTGCATTCTTCATCTATCATATGGAATACAAAATATATGAAAGATGAATGATACACTTAGAATTCGAACGATACATCTGAATTATTCTTAGAATTCTTTTCGAGCAAGCATGATTCAAAATAACGAAAGACTTCTAGAATTCTCAGTAAAACATTATTCTGTAGATGGAAGACAATAATATTTGCTATACTTCTGTAGAAGTATTCTGCTGATTGCTTTGTGAACAGTGTGGTTCTGAGTAAGGAGATGATCTCAATTGATAATTTCGTTTACTACCACATACAGTTTCAACATAAGTTAGTATGAAAATGATTCAGACGATAAACTCTGTATATAATGCAGGTGTTAGTGAATTTTGAAATCTTTAATGAGTGAATTCATTAGATAATATTGATGAAAAGCTATTGAATATTTCCATTATAAAATTGATAGTCATTCTTTTTTTGAAAATTCAACGTGGAAAAAAACTAATTAGTGCTTGTTGTAAAGCGAATTATATACTATCCATCTGACAAAATCATAAGTTCGATTGAGTTTTCCGTAAATTTCTAAAGATTTTGGTACTTGGTTTGATAGACGAATTCAAATGTGTAATTGTTTGTATAACTCGAGTGAATGAACAAGGGCTTTTATCGTTTTTTCAACAAAAAAGTATTTTTTATTTATTGCAAGGTAGTAAAATGCGTTTAAATAGTACTTGACTTTTATCTTCATGATGATACAGTGGATTTTATAAAAACATCAATTAATGAAATTGCCAACACGAAAAGTTCCATCAGTTATGATAATATTGTGCTATAAAATGTACATCGAACTTTTCCAAAGATATTTGAACTAAGTAATCAGTACACTGCTGAACAGACATTACTAGATTATTCTCTTAATGTTTACCACTATTAAATCAATGTAAAAAATACTAATTCACTATCAAGTTTCTGATATTTATCGAGAAAAGAATGTATTCGTGTCTGTGAATTATATACACTTGAATGTTCTCAGTTCTCGTGCATAAAAAAACTACAGGTGTAGAACAAATCATTATGTTATTTGTTTTCGCTGTTTTTTGTCATTGTTCTCATTTTTCAAGAAACAGAAAAAACGAATTCTAAACGATCACAATAATTGATGGGTGTGAGTGCTGGTGAGCACGTGTGCCTTGCCGAGACTGTCACACCCAAATCTTCGATGAAGAACTGAGCATGATCATCTGCTCATGCACGCTAGAGCTATACAACAGCTCTTGGGTACAGCTTACTCATGGTGTAAAGTTCGAACTGTTACGTATCTATTGGAAAACAACGCATTCTGATGGTATTCTATCAACCATTGACGAATTCCGACAAAATCCGACGCAATTTGGACCAAATTTGGGTTTGTTGGATTATTTTGTCTGAGTATCATAGGTTCTATTTACTTTGGATAATGAGATGTAACCAAATTCGATTGAGTCTTCGTTATAAAAAATGATAAAATTGGAATGAAATCATCTAGAAATCAATAGTAGTTTTATACAGACTATTTCGACAGCTTCGTGACATAAGATAGTCACAGCTTCTATCGAATACGAAATCTTATTGACTAGAACCGATCGTTTCCGACTTTATGGATTTCGGCAGAACCCAGGAAATCCGGTGACCGAATTTCAATGAAAAACAATGTAAATGAACTGAAATATGTTGACAAGCAACAGACCAAATCTGGTTGCATTATCGTAGCCGATTTTTAAACTGTCTGACAAAACCCGATGTATCGAGAAGCAGTTGTATGTATGTGTGGCTGTTGTCTTCACTAGAAACAACTCCAAGGGAAAAACATTTGCACCTACCAGCGAGTAGAAAGAACCCATAGCAGTGCATAGTAATTAAAATCAGTTTATTGGGAAAGCTAATAGAAAAAAGGAATTTAGAGTTTCTTCTTTATGTTGTCAATAGTGTTTAGCACTGTTTTTACGTGTGGATGAGTCGGTGGCAAGGATTTTTGAAAGATGTTAAGTGCTTTCTCTAGATACGGCAGCGCTTTTGCGTAGTCATCTGTTTTTTCGTACACTGAGCCAAGATTCCAGTAGGAAATAGCTAATGAGGTATGATTCGAAGGCACAGCTTGTTCATATATTTTATTTGCCCTCTCGTAAAATTCCAAAGCTTTCGAGTTGTTACCCATATCATCATACACTGCTGCGATGTTGTTGTAGGACAAAGCAAGTTTGGGATGAAGCGGAGACCAAATGTTTTCTTTTATTCGATGCGCTTTTTCGAAATATTCAAGCGCTTTCGAGTAGTCATTCATGTTTCTATACGCAAGACCAATGTTATTGAAGGAAGTAGCTAAAAGTGGATGATTTGAAGGCAGAATTTTTTCATTGATTTTATGTGCTTTTTCGAAATATTGAAGTGCAGATGGATAATCACCTATCTTATCGTAAGTGAGACCAATATTGCTGTAGGAAGTAACTAAGTAGGGATGATTTGAAGGCAGAGTTTTCTGATGAATTTTAAGTGTTTTTTGTAGTGTTCAAGTGCTTTCGAGTATTCATCCAACTTTTCATAAACTTGACCAATGATTCCGCAGGAAATAGCTAAACGAGGGTGATTTGAAGGCAGTACTTGTTCGTTTATTTTATATGCATTTTCGTAAAATTCAATTGCTTTCGAGTTATCGCCCATATAATCATACACCGAACCGATGTTGTGATAGGAAATAGCCAACGAGGGATCACGCGGATCTAGAGTTTTTTCTTTTATTTTATGTGCTTTTTCATAAAACTCAAGTGCTTTTGAGTAGTTCTGTACGTTGCTATACAGCTCACCTATGTTATTGTACACGTGAGCTAACAAAGGATGGTCTTCTGGTAAAGTTTTTCGGTAGGTTTTGAGAGATTTTTCATAAAATATTCTTGATTCTTTGAATTGCCCTTGTTTCATTTTTACTTCTGCAAGCTGGTGATATATGTATTCTCTATCTGTATCACTGGAAGCATTCTTCACTAATTCATTGTAAAGTTCTTCAGCTTGATTGAAGTGACCCACTTTGAGCAGCAAACAGCCCATTCGATACCATCCCGTACCAACGATTTCCTTTTGTATGTATTTAGTAAGAGCAGCCAGTTGAGGATCATTGTCATTGGTGAGAGTCAACTGTACTTCCCAGAGACGATTATTGTCGACCGTTTGCGTGATTTCATTGACACGAAATATGGTATGCATCGAAAAGAGCATTTCTTGTTCCTGTGAAAAAGCACTGTATTCATCGATGAGTGCGAATGGAGTAGACGACGACGACATTTTACTTGGATCTATTGTCATGATGAAGAGAATGCCGACATTGCTTGCATCTCTTCGTAGTGCATCTTGAATAAATCGCATAGCTACTCTTTTTTCTTTACTAGTCGATAAGAAATTGTTGAATGAGAGAAGTCCATCCTTCGACTTGCGAAGATGTTCAAAGGCCTGCTGACTAAGTCCTTGACCACGATAAACGATAAACATTTCTGTATACATCGTTAACTGATTTTTGTGAAGCTGATCCAGTTGTCGATGTAGATTACAAATGAAAAATCCCATTTTCATCATGGCTTCCATGTCGAGTGATCGTAAAGCCTTGTTGAGCATACCGTAAAGAAAAATCTGTCTGGTATACCACCAGATCGGTGTTTTCTCGTGATATTCATGCTTAAAATTGTTTAATTGGTATTCGGAGACGCTTTGTCGACGGCAGTACACTATCAGGTATTCAATGGAATTTTCGTCATGTTCGTTAATTTCTAACAGTATTTCTTTGAATAATATCGAGTACATGTATGACGGTTCCAATTCATCGAGATTCTTGTGACCCTTTGTTGCTGATGTCAACATGTGCTCCGGAACAAAACTCATCGGTATTCCATTATGATCGTGTATACGAACGACGGCTTCTAATGAATTACACATCCGCTCGATTTCATTGAAGAAGCCTTCAATTTTTGACCATTCGTTTGCGAATTCTGGATGTTGCGCGTTGTTTGGATAAAAGATATATATGCTATCAAGATGTGCAATGTCATGAATGAGTGGCACCAAGTGTTGACTCATAGCACTTGCTATGATGAGGAATGCCTTTCTGTCA